ATCTTATATAAGCTGCTTTACCGAGTCAAACTGTGGAATAGTGATCCTCAGCCTTGGAGCTACACACCACAATGAATGCAGTTTGGGGTTAGCATATGTCAAACTGATGTACGTCCCACAGCTTGGCACCAGCGGAAAGGCATCTCCACCACCAGCTCACTTCTACAGCTAGAAGGTAATAATAATAATGATCTGAACAGCCTAATACGGAGATAAAGTCCGGCACTGCTGCGTGTAGTTGTGCCTTTGACTTTGGCTACATGCAAGAGTAATGCTACAGAGAGCATGTCAAGCCACGCCGCCCAGTTTGGTGTACGTAGTGATGAGACAACATCTCTGAAATGTAAATTAGCTTACACTCTTCCATAATAATTAGCAAGTAGTACACGTGTCAGGTATTCAGAAACACTTCATAATAACTACACTATTTGCAGCATTAATAAACCACAAAGAAAGAATAATTCATGATGAACAAATAGTTTAATAAGAATGATTCAGGCCTGAATAATTCTTCTATTTGTTTATTATGAATGAAGTCTTTCTTCATGCTTTATTTAGGCTAATTAAAACTGTACCCCCCTCATCTCACCTGGCACCCTTTTTACCTGTGGTCTCTGGTCTTCTGTTAGGCCTGAGGTGGCACACTATCAGACAATAACTAACATGGGTAGCATCTAGTGGTGATACTTTATGTGAGCATACAACAGGGCCTGGTTGGCCAAACTAATTACAGCTTTAAGGTGTTAACAGAATTTTTGAGACACCCAGGAATAAAATATGTCAAAAGGTACGACTAAATTACTTTTTGGATACATCTGGAGGGAGTCAGGGTCACCAACACAACACTTGGCTGGTGGCAGCTTCTAAATGAATTAGGTCCATCTGTTGTTGCTTCATCTAATGAAAGTGTAGTTATTATCAAATCTTATCAACATTATTCTACTGTGGATACGTGTGTGTATATACCTCTGCAACAACCAGTTATAATCTGTGAAGTTGAACTGAAAATCTTTGCTACATTGATTGTTCTTCTATCACAAATGTGAATGATTTTGGTCAAATGACTTAATAATTTCCTGACAATAAATATTCTCTACAAACTCTAAAAATATGTCATAAATAGTCTACCTCTTATAATTTCACTTTTTTATATATCATTTTGAATATGTCTCACAATGCCAAAGATAACCAGGAATCTTTTAGTTCCAGGGTAAATGCTCTTATCCACTGAGCCAAAAAGCCCTTGTATCTTGGAATATAATATTTGTAATCTACAAAAATACATTTGCTGCTACAGCACAACAACAGTCATAGACACTGATAGTATTTTACTGAATATGCCTGATTTTGGAAAAAGATTACAGTTTAGTTTGTCCTCTCTGAGCTACCATATAATGAAGAAAAATAAAAGGTGTTTTGGTTATCATAAACAAATTATTTTTTTATACAATACGAGACCTATGTGTCTAAACTACTTGGGCTGCTGCATCCTCACTGGAATGCTTCTCACCTAATTTCTTTTTGATCTCTTTCATCATCACTGTTCTGTAAACTACAACAAATTATTGTGAAATAGGGAAAGAATGAGGTATTTTTAGGGTAAAATGTCAGAAATTAGTGAAGACAAAGATAAACATTGTCTATAATTACCAGTGAAAATGCTACTTGAAAAGGGCCTGAGTTTGTCACATGAAAAAAAGAAAATGTCAAATTTGTTGAAAGCAAAATGCAGGCAGGTGATGTGGGCAAATCACACAAATGTTTTTTTCCTGCTCGCAATTCAGAAAAAACAATAGTAATATCATTGTGGACTGTACATTTCCCTTGAAGAGAATTGTAATAAGTGCATAAGTGCATTTTCTACTACACATTTGAATCTAGAAGTTACATAAGTTTAACTACTGCATTGATGATGAACATGTTGGCACAAGACTTGCATGTTTGTGGTTTCAAGTAAATGTAAATATTTTAAAATGACAAGAATTTAGCATACAATGGTGCTGGAAAATCACTGCTCAAGCCACATTGTCTACTTTCTGGGCCTTGCATTATGGTGTCGTAAGTTACCACTGGGCAAGCAATAAATAAATGGGACAAATTACATTACTGGCTTGTGTCAATAGCTAAAATTCAGTGTGAGCCAATACAAAATAGCAAAATAACATCTTCTTTTCCAATATTTGTCACACTTTTCTGGAAATAAACTACAAATGGGCATGTATTTCAATTTTCTTGTACCATTTCTATTGAGCTGTAACTCACTGTGATGTCTGCAATCTCTTTGATACTGCCAGATGCCACTTCAATAAATAATGCAGTGCCACATCTGATTGTCATACACTGATTGAAACCAGCCAACTCACAAATCCTCAAGTTGTGCATATAGACCGATTTGATTTTAAGTGTGCCCCTGATTTGTACATTAAATGATAAATGATTCTAGCACCAATTTTCCAAGCACCACTGTTTGCCGTTATTAGTATGTGCATGATAATGAGCTTGTGATTCCACCAATCCAGAACATGAAAGGATTGACTACATCCAGAGTGGTTAGAAAGCTGCATTTTTCCCAACACTGACCAGTCCAGAGCTTATGAGGGGTGGCCTGAATTGTCTTAAGTGCCACATGCTTCATCAAAGTTGAGGTATTTCGAGCATTGGCACAGTTTGAATCTACTGTTAGATTTTCAAATGCAAATAAAAAAACTCAACTAAAATGGCTCAAAGGTAGAGGAAAGTTTATATCGCTCGAAATTAATATATTGTTTTTCTTACAATTGTTGCTCAAAGACCTGGTTGCTGGTAGGTTTTGAAAGCTGCACTTTTTAAATGGCACTTTGCAAATGCTGGAAAAACTCCACGCGTGAGCACAACAGCTGGATATAAGCATCACCAGCCACCAATACAACCCATGTCAAAGAAAAACACACACGATTTGGCAATGGGACAACAGGCTCAGCACATCCTACTGACCAGTGGAGCTTGGCAATGGGAGGATGGCTACCGAGACAGAATGATGGAGCAAGGAAGTTTTGACAGAGGAGAAGCAGTCTAGAAAAAAGGCTAGTTTCGAAGTTGTAAGATGTTTTGGAACAGTTCAAAGTTGCTCGGGTCTTCTCAAAGTCTAGTCTGAGCTTCAGGGATATAGATCTCAATGCTGTCCGCCCGCTCTGACGCTGAGTTCTGTCTAAAGGAGGCCGCTCTCTTGGCTGCCATAAGCCTCCGCCGTGCCTCCTGCCTGTGCCGGTCTGGCAGGTCCAGGGACTTCTCCCGCACGATGCCACTCCGCTGTCGCACCACCTTCTTTGGTACAGGAGCTGGCAGCTGAGTGAAAAGTTAAACAATATTAACACTAGGATGTCAAATTTTGAAATGTATCTATCAAAAATGCTGTTCAGTGTGATGACATTATTAAAAGTATACTATATATAACTTGTCTGGTGGAGGGTCCTTTACTTGCTTGTCTGAGATGTTAATAAGTATTAACACTTCAAAATATTGCACAGTATGTCAGTTTTATTATTTTTATTAGTTTTGTTACATTTTCAGTTACAGTGTTAGAAAACATGCATTCTTGTGAGCGTGGTCACCTCTCCGCACACCTGACCTGTAACTTGGCCTGGTGGCACCATTTGAATGTCATTATGGAGACAGATAAGTTTAATGCCTAACTATGAAACATTGCTAAGAATTAACATCTCCATGGAGACGAGCAGATGGGAGACTCATCACCAGAAAAGATACACAGCACACATTTAAGTCTTGTTATTATCTTTCTAACATGTATAATACTGTACATTCACAATTAGCCTGTGTCTTTACTATTACAGATGTAAAATATTGTAATTTTGTAAGTCAGTAAGAGGCAAAGATAAGACATACACATATAGACAACAATTCACATCAAGTCACATCCATTACGGGCGGTTGTCAGTATTACTATGTACCTTGCTGTATGAAGGACACCATACCTTCTTCTCAGGGCTGTCCAAAGGCCTCCAGTTATTGTTCTTGATCTGCTGCAGCTGGTCAAACTTCATGGTGACGTCGTCGATGGAGAGCTGCAGCAGGTCCCAGAAGCCAGCCAGGTCCTGAGAGGTGGGCCGAGGCATGGCACTGGGGTCCTATCAAAGAGCAGAGGCACACACTTTACTGAACACAAAGTGTACCTTTAATGAGGTCTGTAGTGTAGGAGCAGCACCCCAGGCAATAGCTGCAACTCCTGTAATCCATAACAATGACTTGCACTGCTTGCATCCAAAAACATTACTGCAAAGAGTGTGTTTGTTCGCACTGCAACTTTTATCCACTAGATGGCAGACCCATCAAAAGGCTTCGGGGAACCATTGAGTCTCCAAAGGCACTGTACAGTAAAAACTGTGTTCTCTTCTCAACAGTCTATGGATTGTACAAGAGAGTGTAAGGACAGTCTGTGTATCTGGTTTATTATATAATGTCAATTCAACAGTCCCATTTAAACTTTTAGTACATTTAATGTTTTGACCTGCTTAGTGATGGTACCAGTGGCCTCTCCCTATGAATTGATTACAGACACTTACATGTTGTTTGTCCTGCCCCACTTGTGATTAGGCAGCTCTGTGTTTTGATGTATAATTACCACAGGGCTGCCTCAGCGGATGATCGGCTTTCCTCTGACCCGTGAACTCATCATTTCCTTCTCAGAACTGTCTCTAAAGTCGAACATATCCATAGCCCGCAGATTTGGAGGAGTTCATTTTAAGCCCTGGCTGACAGCGTGCTGTTTAATCCAAGACTGCCTTCCTCCGGAGAATTGTTCTGCACTATTCCACAACACACTTAGCTTGAGCTGCAGAAAATTTTGATACAGCACCAAATCACTAATCTGTAACACAATTTAGTTTAGTTTATTCAGTTTATTTGACATTGACCATGTACAAGAGCATTAATCAAAGAAACATTGAAGAAATGCTTTGTATCTGATTATAGCTCTCTGAACAAATTTTATTTTCTGTAATATATAATATAATACATAATATAATACTTTTATTTATAGAGTAAAGACAAGTATTGGTAGTGTATAGAACATTTGAACAGTGATAATACTGGTGATAGTCCTTTAGCAGTCATGGCTGCTCTGGGACAGACTGACATAGAAGCACACTCTGCACTCGCTCAGGTAACATTTTTCCAGTAACATTGTCTTTACAAGTTTCATCAATTGATTAAAAACTGCAGTATGGTAAATTCATATCCAAGTGAACCCAGCTCAATAATGTTTATGGACTACAGGTAAACTGCATATCATTATTTTGGTACTTCTCCATTTATATATTCATAATAACCAGACATAGAGAGTAAAATTAGAGTTCAGATTGAAAAAGCCTCATACTGTGGGCCCATTGTGTAGCGCAGCTAATAAGCACCACCCACTGTGATCTGCACCTGTGTGAGTTTAAAAGAGAATTTAGAATTAAGTTACTTGAGACACATTAGCCAGGCAAATTTTCAGGGAAGCGAAGTCAGACAATATTGCTAATTACGCTTGGGGTGTTTAGTCAACAGAAAGGGGCGCTGCACAAACTTTGAAATGTTTGAATTGTAAATGTACTGATGACTTTATGAGAAGCTCCCTGTTGGAAAGGAGCCACACAGTGCGACAGTAGATACAGATTTACAGCCCTCCAAGACAATATTACCCTCTTTTCCACACCGCCTTTGTCTCTTACCAGATTTTGCTGACACAGCCAGTAAAACTGCTGGAATTTCTGAGACATAAGCAGCTGAGCGCTCCCCACTGCACTCCGGATCTTGCCCAGGACTGAAACACAGGTATTAGAGCAATTAAATTTGATAACTGAAGGCAGATGTGCAAAGAAAAATATTCTAAAATACATACATAAAAACATATTAATCCATATTTTAATTTCAAAATATACTTAGAATCATGATGCTGTGTGTGAGGAGATTAAATTGGGAATTATAAGCACAAGCTCCACTAGCACTTAGGTGTTTAGGTTAGGTATTTTTGCAGTCCTGGTCATTTCTTCATTCTTGGGACATAAATGAAAAGTAGTTTGTGTTTGAAAAGTAGTTTATGATCCTATGAATCCTACATAATGGATACACGTACTTGCTAATTAGCAGTGCTTTTGTTTTCATTATCACATTTAGAATTCAGTCTATAATTTAGTCACTCACTCTCCTCTGTCAGATCATTTTCCTCTGCTTCTGCTTCCATCTCTTTACACCATCCCTCCATCCTCTTGGTCTCTGTGTGAAGCAGCTGCATGAACCAGGTGCCATCTCTCCTGAGGGATGGGGAGGCCCGACCTGACTCCACGGGTGAGGCGGTGCTGTCCCGTGGGGAGGGGGGCTCCAGCTGCCAGGTGGCCTCACTGCTGCTCTCTCTGGGACTGGTGGGCTCGGCAGGGGTGCGGTAGTCGTCCCGATAGCTGAAGAGGCCCTGGGTGCGGACTGTCCGGACTGCCCCGTACTGAGTGGGCGTGCTGGGTTCTGAGTGGCGCTGGAAGCCCCCTCCAAACTGCAGACCCTTGTCCTCCATGATTCGGGAAGCCCTCCACCTCCAGGTCTGCTTGTACTGCAGCTGTTACACTGTTGGAACGCTTGAACCGGCCCTGTCTGAGATACAAACACAAGAATACATTTTCAAAACTTGACGCAATGTAGAGAGGTGTTTTGAGAATTTAATTAGCTCCAAAATTCAAATGAAGGGCAAAAAAGATGGCAAAAATTTTAACCCAAAAATACATGCATGGAAATTGTTAATGGGTGGATCCTGTGCCTTTACATATTATTTATCTTCTTTTATCTTTTATGACCTGACTGAAGATGTTGAGCATGATAAATTTTTATGTGGGTGATCATTACCATATAGTAAAATGTGACAACACCATACAAAAAGATCCATCCACCATCTGTTCCTGTTGCTTATTTATACAGTTTTTGGCTCAAAACATCAAAACATCCCGGCTTTTAGTACTATATGCTAGAGGGGGGTATTTTGCTGGTATAATTTTGTCACCAGATACTAGAAAACAACCTATTCAGAAACAACCGCACTCCTAAAAGCACTCTTACCCTTTCTTGTCATCCTCCACCTGGATGCCGACCGAGTGGTACTCCCGCGAGCCTTTGCTTTCTGATTCCGAGTCTGTGGCTGCCTCCACCTAATATGGAACAAAAGAAAAAAAAAGAAAGAAAAGATTCAACATTGCTGCTCATTACGTGCACAAGAATTCCCATGGTAATTCAGGCTTTATTGGTTTGGAACTGGTCAGAGCACCTTAACTGTAGTGCACTGTCAGGAAGTAAACACTGTATGATTAATGGCGGAGGCTAAGGAGACGAGACCGGAGAGGATTTGAGCGGGGGATTATAGGTTAATATTGGGATTCTTAATATAAGGGCAGAGGGGATGGGGCAAGGTTAAAACACTCCATCACCACCATTACTGTAAGTGGCTTCTTATTACAAGATACAGGAAATATTAACAAGAGCAATGCAACTGATAATACAACAGCAATACTTGAGGCAGTTTTCTCCGCTCACACGCTCACAAGTACCACGTTTTATTGGCGTCATGTAGAGCCTTTTGCTATATTTATGCAGAATTAAGCTGGTTGTCCATTCTACTATCCATTTTCTAATTTCCTCACGACATCCTATCTATTGTCTGCCTTAAGCATTTTTTTATTGCCGCTGTCTGAGATATTAAGGGAAACATAAACAAATAATAGCGCCAAATCTCAAGATGTGGAGATGGGTCCCCACTGCTATTGACAGGTTGCCCCAGCGGCACTGAAGGAAGGGTCAAACGCAGGGGATAAATATTTCCACGGAGACAACATGGTGTACATTAAAGCACCCATATTACGCTATTTTCTGATCTATGTTATAATGTTGTTTCCTTGTCATGTTTTGTTTCATGTTTTAAGACGTAAACCCTGCATATTTAGGCTGCATTCTTTACTTAGCGAGAAAACACTAATACAGGAAGCGTTACACCGTACACCTTCACTAGAATCATTTAGATGATTTCAACCCTGGAATTGCTAATCTCTGCTGAACTAAATGTAAAGGGTAGCTGTTAAAGGGACAGTCCAGAATTTTGGACATAGGACCTCATTTCCTAGTGAGCCAGAGTGCTGGAGACTTGTGGAGACACTTTTAAAAATATTCCATCCAGTCCTTGTATTTGCAGAGGTCGCTGGTGCTAGGCTAGTGCATGTCAATGGCCATAGTTAAGCCTGACACTAAAAAAGTCTTACCCATTCCACAAAGACTGTCAATGTAAATGTCTGTGTTGATAGAATAATGTTTGAAATAAAACTAACCTTGCATTGTATGAATCGTCGCATGTTGAGGGACTATTTTCTCAGCAGCAGCAAAATTTTATTTTGCCGGTAAGATAGGGGCTAGGTGATATCAGTCCACCGCTGCCAAGTTTTCTATCAGGAAATACAACTCGCTGCTCCTGCTCAGACATAAATCCTTCAAATGCAAGGTTGGTTTTACTTCTAAAATAATTCTATCGACACAGACGTTCACATCGACAGTCTGGTGTAATAATAGATTTGCTTCAGATGCTTTGTGGAGTGGGTAAGACTGTTTTTAGTGTCAGACTAACTATGCCCATTGACATGCACTAGCTTAGCACCAGCGACCTCTCCAAATACAAGGACTGGATGGAATATTTAAAAAAGTGTCTCCACATGTCTCCAACACTGTGGATAACTAGGAAAGGTCCTATGTCCAAAATTCCAAACTGTCCCTTTAAGTTGAAAACTACCACTACATGAAGTGGAATAGAGCATTTTGAGCTTTGAAGATGTAGACTAAGTATATTTTTCAGGAGGTAACATCATTATAATGTGACTTTAAGTTCACAAGAGACAATTTTGGGTAATATAAGACATTTAATCTTAACCACCCTACAATATTTATGGCCAGAATGTTATGTGGAGAGACTAATATGCATTTGTGCACTACTAAAGGTGTATTCTGATATGTTTTTCTTCCAGCCAGCATAACTACTTCAAGAATGTGACCTGAAGTAGTTAATCTAGTAGTTTCTCCACTTCTAGCTTGGAGTACTTTTTGACAGACACTGACCTCTACAGAACTATGGCTGCGGACTCAGAGTTGCTTGGATACAGTAGTCTAGCTATCACAGTTTGTATGACAGTTTGGCTTAATACCTGTTTGAGAAGAGTCCAAATAGTAAAAAAGGTTTGGCATTTACACATCTTCAGCCCCAGCGCACCCTTTTTACGAACATGTCAAAACACTGGTTAAAAATAGCCCATACTGGAGATGCAGGGAAATGTCAGGGCTTTGGTGCAGAGTGGTCAGTATTAGTGGAGTTTTTGGAGAGGCGCTTTGTATTCTGTCGGGGGAGATGCCGTTAGCGGGCTAGCGATGAGTGCTGCTGACCTCCATTTTACTCGGCGGTGTTAGTGCCGCAGCTAAGTCCAGAGAATGAGACGTGACTGTGTGATGGATGAGGACGAGAAGAAGACAAACATCAAGGTTGGTGAATAAGGTTTAGATCAAGTTTAAAGGTGCATTCTGAAACTTTTTAGTTGGGGACCGTCACCTGCTTGTTTCTATGGAGAGATGTCATTGCTCTCACTGGAATTTTCCACAGTATGACATTAAACAACTCTACCTTACATTTATTCAGTTACAGGTGGTTTTATAACTCATACCTAGAACCATACCAGTACCTAGAAAAACAAGCATTCTGATTATCTCTCCACAGATCTGACCTGTAATTGGTTTGGTCTCCATGAAGATAGAAAGGTTTAACACCATACTGTGAAAAATTTAATAGGCTCTCCACCAGAAAAGTTGCACAAAGCACCTTTAAGTTTGAGCAAGAGAATATTGTATCGTCGATCACATATCACACATCTCAATTTTGAGTGAAAATATTATGACACATCGCAAGTCAACTCTATATTCTTATCCTCGCAGTTATCTAATTTTATATTCTTAATTACATGGAATGTGAAAGGATAATAAGTAATTTACATGATAATTAATTTTGAACCTTTGAAAATTATTTTTTCCCTGCAAGCTCTCTCCAGGCAATTTCACTTCTTTATGAAGATATTTAACATGTTTAATCTGACTTACTACATCCATACATATTAAGGGTAAGTAAGTAAGTAAGTAAGTCTTTATTTATATAGCGCTTTCACAGATATTTTCTGTACCCAAAGACGCTTTACACAGCATTATTCTGCATTATTCATTCACTCTATACCTGGTGATGGTAAGCTACTATTGTAGCCACAGCTGCCCTGGGGCACACTGACAGAGGCGCGGCTGCCATGCCACTCGGCGCCATCAGTCCCTCCGACCACCACCATCGCTCACACACACACCACTTTCATACTAGGCAATGTGGGTGAAGTGTCTTGCCTAAGGACACAATGATTGAATTGATTGTATTTAACTGACCTTGACTATCAACTGTTTTTTTATGGAGACCTATGTAGCATGTTTTGGGTTGTAACAATATCTCAAGTCTCACAACACGATATCATCATGGTATGAACCTCACGATACAATATTTATTGCACCGTAAGGTTCATACCATACATACATTATGGGGAGACTCATGATTAGGAATGTAACAATATCCAAATCTCTCAGTACAATGTTTTCACGATACACATCTCACAGTATATTTATAGCAATATTTTGTGGAGGCTAAACAGGTAAAAATATTAATATGCTACTTTTTCCTCTTAAAATGCCTTGACAAGACTTAATCCAAAGAACTAAGACTTAAAAGTGCTTAGAACTGTTATTTCTTCATGTAATCTACACTGAAATGGAGCAAAGGATCATGGTCTATGTAGTTCCCTTCGCCTTTTATTTTAGCTACTGCTGCAGCATAACACTTAATTTAAACAAAGAGACTTGTAATTCAGTATATTGTGATGGTCCATGATATTATTGTGAGAACTTTGACAACACGATATCACAATATTTCAGTGATTGTTACATCTTTATTACATATAAAACGAATAACTATATTTTTCAGACCCTAACATGTGAAAAGTGTTCTTTTTTCTTGGGGTAGTTTTGGCAGAGCTTGGACTTGTGTTTTGTTATCTTTTATCTTTTTTTAACCTCTGGCTGTTCAGTTCTTATCTTTGAACCATTTCAAGCTCTTCATTGGACTTAAATGACTTGAACTGCAATAAATAAATGGAAAAAATTAAGCTGTTCTAAAACTTTTGACCGGAAGTTTACATTTGAGCAATACAAACACCTGTAATTTAATAACTGCATAGATAGTTTTATGCAATACAGTAGAATATTCCCAGCATCCTCATGGTGAGAAGTAGTTGGTGGACCGCTCCCATCAGAAAAGTTACACATTTCCCCTTTAAATGTGTAAATTAGCAAGGCACTATCTTCTATCTCCAAAAAACAGAAACTCTAGTCTGTAACATACATTTTTCTCTCTGTTTCCAAAACCTTAACCCAGGAATGCACTTTAGTTTTGTTTGGTTTTGTCATCTCAGAACTGAACTGGAGATGTTTGGGAATATAGAGTCAGTGAGATGTGCAAACATACACTGCCACCATGCGCCAGTGATCGCAGAGTCAGCACAGATATGAAAAAGTGTGCGCCTAAGCGAAAACTGCACTGTGCTTTTGAAAACAAACAACTCCCGGTGCCTTCTCCAGACGACATGTGCGCCCGGGGTTAAATACTTTGACTTCCTCCGTAATTACTCTAATGATGCACACAATTACAACTATTTTTGGTCAGGAACAAATCAATGATGGTTTCAAATGATGTCTTTAGGATGAAGCGGGTCCAGCAGGGCACGTCCTCAAGATCAAAGGTAACGCATTTGTTGTCTGCTGCTGAAATGACAGTTGTTACAAACTTCAACCTGGATCAATACAGAAGCAGGATAATTTAGTTAATTGTTTGAGTCAGACTGACAAATGAAACTGTATGATAGAAAACTAACCTCAGGTCAAATGATGTGCTTAGCTCTACAAGTCAATCAATATTACTGCAGTTCGATAAGACAAATGGACTCAACTTTTAGACATTTTATAAGAAGGATAAAAGTGGTAAGTCAGGTTCTTTCATTATAACAGTCGCTGTGATAGAGGGAGTCAGAGAGAAAAAAAT